ACATGTTCACAAGAAGTAAAGCATGTTTCTTCATTATACTATGTTTATTCTATGGTTTATAAGGATATTTGTGAAGTCAGGGCTGATAAAATATTAATTCATATAAGTTCTTATTGGTATAAACAAAGATGTAATACATGTAATAAACATGCTTTAGTTAAGCTTCAGTAATTGTGAGTTCTTTACTGTCCTATGGTAGTGAGAGGATTGAGGGCTCTAAACCACGTTTAACCCCACCATTACCCGCTTTATGTGCCTATCCAGAATCAGGGGTCAGCAATTTAATGATTGCGGTATGTCATTTTTTTTACTGTTTGGTTTCCTCCTTTGACTTTTTCACATTTTGTCATGTCAGGGCTAATTCAAGTTGAACATACAATATGAGTTTTGTTCATGATTGAAGGCTGTTCGGTGACCTATCGTGTTTATACATCAACGTCATTTCTCCTCTATTGGATAGTTGTTTCAGTGTCAATCATACCACCTGTTTTCTTCTTCGTTCCGTTAAGTGGCTACTTTCAGCTGGTTGACTATCCTGTCATATTTTGGGAGTTTGTGCATGAAAGGTGCAATGTATTTACAGGTGATTGTAAAACAGATGCCATTATGAGATAATATGTCTGTTTCCTTTATATAAATTGCTATCAGTTACAACATTGATGAATTCAATTCGTTGTGATTCACATGAAAATCCACTAAAAAAACTAATGTCTGATTTTCAAATTTCAAGTTTTATTTGTTTTTGGGGTGGGATGTTCTCTGATCTGACCTTTTTGCGCTTTATACAGATCTAGAATCTTTTCAAACAGTTTTGTTTTTCGTGAAATTTGCAAAAAGAACGTTCATACAGATTTTACATTTTCTGCAAGTTTGAGTACACCTTCTAACCAGTTGTATTTTGTAAATAAAATGAGAATAAGATTATGATTGTTTAATATTTATTTGTAAAAGGTAACAATTATAGTTTGAATTAAACATCCGTCTTATAAGTGAGAGATTTAGCTAGCTATAAAAGCAGGTTCAATGCGTCATACAAGTGAGAGGTTTCGATAGATATGAAACCAGATTTAATCAATCATTTTCTACATCATTTGATTAGCAATTTTGAAATTTGAATTTTCCTCGGAGTTCGATATTTTTGTTATTTTACTTTTCCTCAGTATGATTTAAACTTGCTATAACATTTGTGATAAAAAAAAGTTATTCATTTTAAACAAACGCGATTAGATCTGTAATTTGTCATTTCGATATAACTATGAAGCCATGATAGACGCACTGACAAACACATTTTCAAATATATAACATAGTAAGCCATACAGAAGTGTCATAAGAATCTTGATATAAAAAAGAAAAAGTTGCGATAAGACAAAAGTACTGAATGTATGAAGAAGCACTCCTTTTTTCCAAATCAATAGCATCTTAAGACAGTGTACCGGCAGATATAACATGTGTACAACCATCCTATCCTTCTGCAACATTGACCAAGGTAGGAATAATAATAACATGCCCTTTTTTGGATGCCGTGTTCTGCAAGTAAAAGCAAAATGGCTAAAAATAGATCCTGAACATTTATGTTATGTTGTCATTTTAGCGGTACATTTAACATTGCCATAAAGGGCGATGTTTAGATAGTCACAAAATCAGGTTCAACCCACCATTTTTTCTTAAAATGTCCTGTACCAAGTCAGGAATATGGCAGTTGTTATCTAATAAATCGTTTCTATGTATGTTGCATTGTCGTTTGTTTTCTGTTGCACTTCGGTGTTTCTGTTGTTTCGTTGTTTTCCTCTTAGAGTTAATGTGTTTCCCGCGATTTTATTTTGTAAACTGCATTTGTTTTCTCTCAATTGATATATGACTTTTGAACAGCGGTATACTACTGTTGCCTTTATTTAGGTAGTCAATCATAACGCACGATGAAAAAAATCTTTCAACTGGAGAAAAACTCGGACTAAAAAAGGTTCGGACGAAATTAAGAAAAAAATAAAGTGAGGGACACCTTTGTATAAATTGTGGTACACATGTATTCTTGCATAGTTTAAGCTGCTTGATCCCAATAATTCTCGCATTAACCTTAATTATATCTGTTTGGGTGGCTCACTCAATTTCATCAATATAATCGAACTATGAACAACCGTTATACAAGTGAGAAGTTTAGCTAGCTTTAAAAACAGGTTAACCTATCAGTTTCTCCTGGAAAATGCCTGTACCAAGTTCGGAATAAGACAGTTGTTTTATATTCGTGTTGTTGGTTGATAAAGTATAAAGTTTGATTTGTAGGTTTTAGGGACTACCCCTATTTCAGTTTACATAGGAGTTTGGTTTTTTTGTTATCCTTTTTTGAAAAGAAATGTTTATTAAGGTTATGCTGATACATTGTATCTAAAAAATGTGTTTATCATAAATCTTATTAAGTATATGTACACTTTCAACATGAGACGTCATGTAATGAATCTTTAGTTTGAATTCAGTAAGGCCGGTTGTAGACGAAAGCGAGTCCGGCGAACCTAAATGAGTCTTGTACATTTTTTTTAGCGGGACTGCACGATTGATTGGTTGTTTGTTGTTTGCAACACGTTTGTTGCAAATATTTTGTATAAATTTAAGGAGAGCATCCTACAACTTCATTTCTTTGGAAACTCTTTCATAAAGTTGTCGATTGAATTGAAACTAAAAAAGCATACCTGTGTTACACTGAACAGCCTTAACATAAGCAATATCTAAATTTCCACATTCTTCTTTGATTTCTGCTTTGGTGTCATTCGGGATGCTTTCGTTATCTTCAAAAGCTTCATAGCATGTTTTGGAATCTGAAGTGTCCTGTGAAGACAATGAACGAGTTAATTAATATATATATATAGTATCGTCTTGCATGATATGAAATTGGCGTTTCTATTTTCATTTCAGAATTTTCTATTTGAAAACTAAATGTGTAGAGTTTAGAGAGTCTAGAAATATACATTTCTATGTTTGCATAAGGATATATGTTCTCCATTCATAGTCGATGATAATTATTCAAGATATGGTTGCCAAAAAGCGAGATATTTTTACAAACTCTGAATAGTGATATCTTAAAAATCCTTTAGTATTTTTTGAAGCAAAATAAAAATAGCTTACATTTTTAACCTTTTCAAATACTTAAGAATGTCTTTGAATAATCACAATGTATACATAAAATAGTTACTTTAATACAATTTGACAAGCCTTTTTCAAATAATTGTTATAATTTTTCTTAAGTTGTGCTGTTACACCTTTTGCTAAGGTTGGAAGAGGGCTGGTCGTTGTAAATCATATTAATGGTCATTTCAATTTATGAAATGAAAGAGCAATGAAATTGTGATATTTTTTTTCAAAAATGGAGATATTTTATGTTTCATGTTCAATTTAATCTTATATATATAGAAAATTTCCTTATTTTAAGAAGCACACCATGTTATATATATATCAGCTTTTCTAAAATTGTATAATTTGTTAATTCTGAAAAAAATGCATCAATGAATTTTGATGGTCTATATATGTACCATTGAATATCATTTACAATGTTAAAATCACAACTTAAATTGCTTGTATAGTTTTAGAGTTCTATTCTCCTGAATTCATTTTTATAATAATTAGACAAACAGCTGTACTCATGATTTTGTTTGGCTCTTTTCCCTTTGAAATTGCCTTTGGGAATTGTACACTTCTTTATAGCAGTTTTAAAGAGTTCACTTTCATAATTAATCTACAATACAAATTCATTTATGTATAAGCCATGTACTTTGAAAAATAGAAGGGAAGATACTGATGTTCCATTGGCGAGAATTGGTGCGTATATTCTAATTGAAAAAAGATTATCTCACTTTATTGTGGTCGGTAAAATAGGACACGAATCCTTCAATACTTTGCAGAAAATAATATTTGCTGACGATATATTAGTTAGATAATGCATAGTTTACGGTTTTTCTTGTCGTATAACACACATTCGGGGTGTCAGGATTGCCTTAAAAATATATCTTTTCGATCTGTGTTTCATTTGATCAATCCTGTCACCCCTCGGACTGTTATACGACAAAAAAACATATGCATTTTTCCTGTTTGAATGGCTTTACACTAGTAATTTGGGGGGCCCTTTATAGCTTGCTGTTCAGTGTGAGCCAAGACTTTACAAATTGTGACTTGGATGGAGAGTTGTATCATTTGCACTCATACCACTTCTTCTTATATATATTATGTTTTTCAAAAACTTAACTTTTGGTTGCAAAGCAATTATATAAATGTCACAATTGAATAGTTAGAGAATTGTCACACATAGTTCTGTAACCAACTGGTTTGAAGAAAATAAAAAGGCATTTAATCATGTGAATTCGTGTTTGCTCAGTTTCATTTCCATTCAAAACGTTTGTTGACATTCAATTATATTTACCTCATAAAACTGAACATTGCAGTTTCTGTTATTCTTGATGATTGAATACTCCTAAAACAAAGGAAAATGAAGAAGAATGTTTGATATAAGTGACCTTTTTTAACATAATTTTAAAAGATATTAATGAATTAGGATTGTTAGCCATGTCGTCCAACAAACTCAGTTTCGTTAACAAATAAACACGAATTGTACGTATATGCAACTACAGTGTTCACGTATGTTTATTCATAAAATTGAAATGACTGATTATTGAGAATATAATCATTTGCATGCGTATCCTTAGTTTTAATATTACATTAAATGATGGTTAAATAGTAGTAAACTATAAATCACTTTGATACATTAAGGTTAAGGTATAATAAGAGCTATCATTTTGACTATCAGTCGGATACCCAGTTGAAAATCGAAATTGAACGAAAGAAATGGAACTCTTTGTTAGAGAAGGTAAAAAAGCCAAATCGGTATAATTGAATATGAATTTAATGCGTTCTAAGTTGTGTCATAAATATAAAGTGCTTAACAGCATCAACAATATTTTACAAACAATAACAATAAATCAATAAATGTGTCTTAAGTGTCATCTTACTTTGTCTTTACTGGTAATTTCGTTTGCCAGTATAACACCATCTTTCTTTATTATTGCAATATCTGTGTTCCCAATTTGAACATCAATGACGTCATATTTCTCGCCTTTATTGTCTTTCAACACGTTTTCTGATACCTTCAAAATTACATCTTTATCAGTTACTGTTCATTTTTTTCAGAGTGTTCCATTCGTGTTCAAACGTATACATGTATGTGTAATAAAATAAAATGAAAGAGTTTTTGACATGCAGTAGTATACCGGTGTTCAAAAGTCATAAATCGATTGATGACAGTTTATGTTCTAATTTTTTTTATAAATATAACAATAAAAGATGTACATGTGCAGTTTCATTCTCACAAATCAGTTTGAATTTTCAGTATTTTTATGATTTTACTTTTTTTGTACACACAAGAATTTATATATATATATAAAATTGGAAATGAATATTGGGAATCTGTCCAAGAGACATCATCCCGACAAAAGAGCAGAAAACAGGTCAAAGCCACCAATGGGTCTTCAACACAGCAAGAAAATCGAACAATCGGAGGCGGCTTCAGCTGGCCCCTAAACAAAAATATGCTCTAGTTCAGTGAAAGTGGACGTCACACGAACTCCGAATCCTATAAAAGATGTAAAATAAAAAAAAAACATACAAGACTAACAAAGGCAAGAGGCTCCTGACTTGTGACAGGCGCAAAAATGCAGGGGAGGGGGGTTAAACATATTTTGTTAGATTTCAACCCTCCCCCTATACCTGTAGCTAGTGTAAAATAAACAAACACACAGAATACGCACATTAAAACTCAGTTTTAAAAAAGTCTGATGTCAGAATAGGAAACAGAAGAAACAAAACAAAAGGACAATGATACACAAATTAACAAAGTACTACTAGCAGTTAATGACATGCCAGCTCCAGACCTCTATTAAACTGATTGTAAGATAATGTCTTCATCGTATGAAAAAGTAACGATCCATCCCGTTATAAAATCGTAAAATGTATGAGAAGAATATAGAGTATCATGCCAACAACTGATTAGAATAATTATAGATTATCGTTGATCAGTTCAACAAGATTGATTTTCTCGCTTGAGCCGGTTCGGTATCGCTATTTTGCCTATGACGAAGTTGATGTTTTTATTGACAACGGCACGTGCGCCCTTTGTTTCTAGTTATAAATTTTCATATCAATCTACTGTGATGAGAAAAGAAATTATCAGTAAGTAAGATCAAAGGAAAACTTCGTAACATAGCGATAAATGTGTTTATTTCCAATGCAAAGATCCTATGAGTGAATCAATGTTAATTCAAAAAAAAAAATACCAGCTTTAATGAACTGAAAACGTCTGTTTAAAGGTTTTGGTTAACTTTTGAAGTGAATGACGACATTTTGTGCTAAATATTACCATAAAAGATTGTTTATGTTATCCTGGTTATTTTTACATTTAACTACAATACCAAAAAATCATTACCTTGGATGCTTCAAACATACTGGCACTCAACACAATGTACGATAAAACTATCCATCTATACATTTTCTCACTACAAAAGACAGTTGATCATAAAATAATAAAACCTGTTATGCTTATCAATATTTTCAAAATGTAATTCACTTACAGATTGACACAATAGCTAAAAAATAACTTTGCTTGTAATGTATGATCATTGCGACTTTTGAACTACACATTTCTAAACCTTACTGTGATGTATCCCTAACAAAAAATAATTTGAATCGATCTAAGAGTGCACATATTGAATTTAAGCCACTTTAACCTTCTGTACATGCAATTTACAAATGATCTTTGTACTTTAATGCAGGATTGATTGTTTTCAACTAAATTATGTATTTATTGACATACGCCGTTGATGTGTAGATAAATATATCATCGAGTTATAAACAAAATGTTAATAAATAAATATACTTCAAACAAAAACGAAAAAAAATTACCAACTTACAATTTTAAATTAACAGCTGTTTTCATTTTTATGGTTTGAATGACCTGTAAATTTGAGAAACTGTATTCAAGATGAAACTGACGCTAAAAGACATGGTATACAAATTTTAGAGAAAGGATCTAATAAACAATATTCAGTTTTCAAAAGGACACTTTAAGTTCCATTGTATAACTTACTTTACACCAATTCCAAAAAAATATATCATTCGCAGATATTTTTAATAAAAATAAGAGAGATAATTCGCTGATTTTAGTTTATAGAATGCCACTTCAGGTGACTAAAGAACACACTTCTTACATTGTTCATTTTGCGTGAAAAAAATGCTTAATTTTGACACGATTCAATTTTGTTTGACCCTTTTCCATGGTCACTTGCCTTACATCCTAATTCAAACGACACCTTGACTTTATCATGTTACCCTATGGAAGTAATGAAGTTATGACAAATTAATCATGAATTCAAACATATAAGGATGCAATAACTCTATAACAAAAGAAATCGGACTATTTTTAATTAAATGTATACAATTTTTGTTTAACAGACCTAAACATTTTGCGCCATTTTTTAGTCCTAATTGTTCCGTGTTAGAGTTGCAGTGGTATTATGCAAAGATCAAAGATGTAGATACTCAATTTCCAGGTTAAAATGTATAAGCCATTAATATAAAGGTAATGTTTCTAATATTAAGTTTAAGCGTTATACCATGTACAGCTTTTTTAAAGAAAAAGAATGAAAACTAATAAAATACGAGAAGCTAAATTTTATCAAATAGTTAACAAATAAAATACTCGGGCATTATTTTTGTAATATATGCAACACTCAGAAACGTGTCCGTCCCCCAAACGTGTCCGATTCCCACAAACGTGTCCATATGACGTCGCTGAATTCAAAACATGTCCAGTTGCAAAAAGGACGCCGAAAGATGTCAGTATTATGAACTCACAAACGTGTCCTTTCCCCCAAACGTGTCCATATCAAGTCAAAACGTTTCCTTTTATGAACGCTCAATCTTGTCCATATTTCAAATGCCCATGCAAATAATTTAATTTTTGACCTTCAAGTAACAATTACATGTCCACCAATATTAAAATTTATAATTTTGTTTAATAACAATTTTGGTTATTGTTCTTCTATTGACGTATATTCCTTTTAATTTACTCTTTCATCTATTGTCCTACCTCCAAGCGTAAATGGAGAATAGAAACATGGTTAATTAGGTCTTCTTCCAACCGACAGTTAAATCCTTGCCAAAGTTGGGCGTCCATTTGGCTGTGTGGGATGTAAAAGTACGCAGTCATGTCCCTCGTGTAGGAAGAGATAGATCTACCTTATGTATTTATTTATGTTGTCGTTCTGAATATGCATGAAATATTTGTAACTAGATTATAAGCAATCAACAATGAAGAGTAAATTCATATGTTGCAAATCAAACTTGCAATTTTACTAATATAAACAGCCGGCGTTGAACAAAAAAATGCTAACTAATTTAGGATTTTCTTCTTTAAACTCTGTTCCTTTTTTAATTTCCAGTAATTGTGCCAAAATACTTCAGCATTTATGTCTTTTGAATACGGCTAAATCTTTTTTATAGGATCTAATCGAAACCTGACATCTTAAATCGTGTCCCCGAGAGATTAATTGCCGTAGACGTTATTAACGTCACTGAGAACATAATAGCGCTAAACGTTTTGAGACGTTCAGGCGTCCCAAAGTGGACACGTTTTGGCGAAACACAATTATCGGACACGTTTGGGGATGCGAAATTGGACACGTATGGGCGATTAGGGATTTTAAGGACACGTTTGGGCGAAATAGACACGTTTGGGGGAATCGGACACGTTTGGGATGATGGACACGTTTGGGAGTGTTACATATATACATAATAAAGCAACTTACTATATTATATATTGTGTTTCGAAAATGTCCGCGTAATTTCTTTTAGTATATAAATTAAGTACATTCTTTAGAGTCAAGTTAAGATTTACAAAGCAATATTTATTAAAGGACATTGTAAATTAATACAAATCTTTCATTTGAATTAAAGTTTCAAAACAAATTGTATTTCTCTTTTTTCTGATTTTACTAAAAACTGATCATTTGTGATTCTACATGGCTGAATACTAAAATGAATGTGCTACCTTAACGAGTCGTACGTGTGTTAAGCCATAACCAGTACCAACTTTTTATTGAAACCTGTATATCAATATTGCGAGAACCTGCTATTAATTCTAAATCTGTTTGGCATTTACAAAAAATGTTTTAATAACACAAAATCTATCATACACTACCTCACTAAAATGTCAAATAATGAATGACTTTCAAATAAATTAAGCATGAAGTATACATTTGAATATCATAATCGATCTAAAACATCGCTGAAACAAAAAACAAATTTTTAAATAATTTATCTATTTAATATTAACATAACATACCTTTTCTTGCCTTTGCTGGATGTCTGAAGATTATACCTGCAGCCTAATATAGTCACCTTCATATGTTGCTTGTTGTAGTACCAGCCAATCAGATCTTTCTGGCTTTCATACTTTGAAGACATGTCGCACAAAAGTTTTGTTCCTGATTCAATACTTAATAAAGAACTTATTAATAAGAATATATGTCATATTTTTCTTTACTACAAAAAATCATTAAATGGAGAGAAAAAAATGAAAAATGGTTTATGTAAAAAAACAGTTTAAACGTAAACTCATTAATATGCAGTATTTTGCAATAAATTTACATAGTCAATTACATTGAGAGTTATGCTCACACAACAACGTTAACGCCTCTCGTCTATAACGATATCTATAGAATTATAAATCAAATGATATTTTAAGATAACGCTTCATTTAAAAGTTAAATTATGTTTGAAAATAGATTTGTATCAACTTTTTTAAGAACTTACGATTAATTTTTTCTATTTCTTATTATGTGGCCCTTCTCTCGAACAGTTGGTCTATTGTTTTAGAATTAACATGTTTATTAATTTGTATACTGATACTTTAACTATAAAGCAATTTATTTTTATCCTTATTTCTCACCCAAGATTCATATATTTATGTCATACGAGAAGATATTGTAAACCTAAACTGGCCTTTCCATCTATGTACATTTATATTTTAGGCTGTTCTTGTAACCAATTAATTGATTGATTGATTCATTCATTGATTAAATACGAAATAACCATGGGGTTGGCATTTTTATCCCGAGGGATAACGAAGGTTAAAATACGACTATAAATGTCTAATTCATTGTTAAATGAAAACAAATCTACGGCTGCCATGAGTTATTTTGATTATAGTAGGACAAATACAGTAATTGGGTCAACAGTACGTTTCACCCACAAATGTTCTTTTTATCCCATTTTATTACATTCTGAGTCGAACAAGGAGATTGAAATCGGCCGGTGTATACATTATACACCGAAGGCATATATATAAGCATGCCTGTGATTCAGTGGTCATTTCGGGGCCTTTTATAGCTGACTATGCGGTATGGGATTTCTCATTGTCGAATACCGTACGGTGTTCCTTACTTGTTAACTTCTGTCATTTGGTCTCTGGTGGAGAGTTGTCTCATTGGCGTTTCTACTACATCTTCTTAATTTTATGAAGTCACCTTGTTTAGTTGTCAAAGACGATTACATCATTTCGCAAAGTTTTCGTTTAATAGAAGTTTATACCAAAATAATCGCTGAAATTGACTGATTTTTTTATTTATATGTCATCTATATACCGGAAAGTATAGTTAAAGGATATTGCTGAAAAAAATATATATAGATGGATAGTTTTATCGTACATTGTGTTGAGTGCCAGTATGTTTGAAGCATCCAAGGTAATGAATTATTGGTATTGTAGTTAAATGTAAAAATAACAAGGATAACATAAACAATCTTTTATGGTTATATTTAGCACAAAGTGTCGTCATTCACTTCAAAAGTTAACCAAACCTTTAAACAGACGTTTTCAGGTCATTAAAGCTGGCATTTTTTTAAATTAACATCGATTGACTTATAGGATCTTTGCATTGGAATTAAACACATTTATTGCTATGTTACGAAATTTTCCTTTGATCTTACTTACTGATAATTTCTTTTCTCGGCACAGTAGATTGATATGAAAAATTATAACTAGAAACTGAGAGCGCACGAGCCGTTGTCAATAAAAACATCAACTTCGTCATAGGCAAAATAGCGATACCGTACCGGCTCAAGCGAGAAAATCAATCTTGTTGAACTGATCAACGATAATCTATTATTATTCTAATCAGTTGTAGGCATGATACGGATTATATTCTTCTCATATATTCTACGATTTTATAACGGGAGGGATTGTGAGGTTTTCTTATGATGAAGACATTATCATACAATCTGTTTAATAGAGGTCCGGAGCTGGCATGTCAGTAACTGCTAGTAGTCCTTTGTTAATTTGTGTATCATTGTCTTGTTTTTTCTGTTTCCTATTCTGATATCGGACTTTTTTTTAAAACTGAGTTTTAATGTGCTGTGTGTTTGTTAATTTTACATTGGCTACAGGTATAGGGGGAGGGTTGAAATCTAACAAATTATGTTTAACTCCCCCCCCCCCTCCCCCCCGCATTTTTGCGGCTGTCACAAGTCAGGAGCCTTTTGCCTTTGTTAGTCTTGTATGTATTTTTTTATTTTACTTCTTTTATATGATTCGGAGTTCGTGTGACGTCCATTTTCACTGAACTAGAGTATATTTTTGTTTAGGGGCCAGCTGAAGCCGCCTCCGAGTGTTGGATTTTCTCGCTGTGTTGAAGACCCATTGGTGGCCTTGACCTGTTTTCTGCTCTTTTGTTGGGTTGTTGTCTCTTGGACACATTCCCAATTTTCATTTCCAATTGTAAATTCTTGTGTGTACAAAAAAAGTAAAATCATAAAAATACTGAAAATTCAAACTGATTTGTGAGAATGAAACTGCACATGTACATCTTTTATTGTTATATTTATAAAAAAAATTAGAACATAAACTGTCATCAATCGATTTATGACTTTTGAACACCGGTATA